ACGTATTCAAAATGAATTATTATGTTTAAAGGAATATCAACAGTTGATTGAAACAATTCAACAGCAAATCAAGGATTCGATTCAAACAGGACAGACACGATTAATGATTGCAGTCGGCTGCGAACAAGGGCAACATCGCTCGGTAGCCGTAGTTGAACATTTCGATAAAAGATCACGAAAAACATATTCAAACATTGATAAACAACATCGAGACTTATCGAGACTAAATCAAACAAAGCAAAAACAGAAAGATCGACGGGGAAGTCGAGAGAAGAAATATAACTGTCACGCTGATGAATAATACTTGAATGAAGACCGTCGTTGTTTAAGGATGAAAGGTTTTTTCCTCGAAATGCTCAGGATAGTTATAGCACATTTTGACAAGATATGCCTTATGCCTTTGTTTTATTTCGATTGCAAATGTTTTGTTTTCAATGAGTTTGGGTTCAATGTAGCTCTGAGATTAGTGAGTGCACAAGTAAGATGCCTGAAATTTAAATACTCAAAACCCAAAACTTAATTTTGCAAGTCTGTCACAGATTTTTCTAGAGATACTAGAGCCAATATTTTTACATGGTTAGATTCGTCAGATGCGTAGCTCCAAAGTTACGAAGAGCTTTTTCAAAAATTCCTTTTCCTCGCTGAGAAAAAGCGATTTTACTGAGGACACCTCCAAATGGGCCGGTGATTTTTAGTTATTTTTTTCTGTTCTTTCCTAATATAGTCAAAGTATATTCATATATAGTACAAGAAAGAAGCAACAGTTGTGCAAGAGTTGCGCAGGGGTTGCACGAGAACAGAAAGAATTTGGAAAACAAGAAAACATAGTTTGGAAAAGAAGAGAACATAGTCTTATGAGCTGCCAGGAATGGCAGATCATAACAAGCGTTGAAAATTGAATTAGATACTTCCCATATGTGATGTCATTGCACGAAAAATTCATCTTCAAGGATATCTCCAAAGCGGGGACCTCATCGAAAAAAGCTATCTAGTCTTTTTTGTTAAAAGATAGAATATTCATTCTTGCGCCATTCGAGCGGTCTTTATTCGAACTACAAAAGTATAACTCGTTTTTTTTTGAAATTCCTCCCCATTGCTGAGCAATTTCACCTTTGCTAAATCAGGAGCGAAAAAATCAGAATTCTGCCCGTAATTATCAATTTTCTCCACTAGAACTCGCTTTTTATGCAATAAAAGTATCATATTCAGAGTCAGCGTCAAAATTTCGGTTTCTTTCAGAGTCAACGGCCAGAATTCCGATTTTTTCGACTTTTCCGCAAGATAATTCAAGCAAAAACATGCAGTAATGATTCATCACTGTTTTAGCCCTATTCTCGTTTCACAAAGATCCCACTCTCTTTCTCACTCTCCCTCATGTAATTTCACTACATGAAATGAGTCATATATTTTGCTCGCTGTATAAAGGTCGTACTCTCGTTTATTATTTCTCACTTTCATCTCGACACACTACTATCATCTTCTCCCCATCTTTCAGCCTTTCCTTCCTCGTCGAACTTTATCCCGCATTCTGATGGATGCTTCCGCTACCAACTTCCAGTCGCTCCCCGTACCCAGAGACTCACAAGGCTTTGTGAAGAGCTTCACTCTCTCCAGCTGCGACTGCCCGGAGGCCCGTGAGGCGCGCGCATTTTTCGATCAGTTCGGCTTCGTAGTTGTTGCAAATGTCTTTACTCCGGAGCAGTGCGCAAACACGATCTCGGACATCTGGGACATTATCGAGTCCTATGTAGGAGAGCCTGTGCGAAACGATGAGACACTTTGGAGTCACAAGTAAGTTCCGCGAATTTGTATCATTCTTTCCGTTTGCAATCCGTTCTCTTGTTTCAGGCTCTGGCGCAGCACAGGTATTCCAGAAGAGGGCATCATTGGTGGGGCCAGTCTCTGGACTCGGCAAATTTTACTCAATCGACAGACTCCGGCCCTGCATGCTGCCTTCGCAGCCATGCTTGGAACGGAGAATCTCCTAGTTAATCAAGATCGCTATGGAATGTCCCGACCCGCCCAGGAGCACCCCGAGCGCACAACCATGACCAACCTCCACTTGGACATGAATCCATGGAGTCACATCGAAGGTTTGCTCTGCTCTCTTTTCCGTAATTCAGGATAGTTTCTCATCTTCGTTTTAGATAAGGACAACTCGCATCAACAGCAAGTTCTCACTGCGCTGCGCTACAAGACCAATATAGACTGGATTGCGGAGAATAACGAACCTGGCTGTGCGGCAGTCGGAGAGCTGCATGTACAAGGTCTGGTCAATCTCGCTGATAACTTGGAAGTAGACGGTGGCTTCTGGCTCGTTCCTGGCTTCCACAAGCACCTGGCGCAATGGGCGGCTGAGCACAAGGTGTTGCGCAGTAGATATGGACGACACTCTCAATTCATTCTCTTAGAGAATGTCTTAGAGAGTTTCGTGCTGAATATAACGACGTTTTAATTTCTTCAAACATAGGTATTGACTGAACTTGATCAGGATTTTTTGTTTGCAGTTTAACTAATTCTTATGTAAATATTTTTCTCACTGGTTCTGGCTCTTCTCTAATGCGTTTCTTTACATTTGATGTAAATTCTTCAACGTTGCATTAATCTTGGTTAGGACTGTGGCTATGCTGTTGTGTTTCTTTTGGATCATCCGAACATTTTTGTGATGCACGACCAGTACATGAACGATCTTCACATTTCCAATATGTGTTATTATTTCTTACCCGATCTTGTGTATAACGATAACCGTTTAAAATTAAAACAGCTTTTTTACGTTTAAGTTGATGATTTGGTGAGTCCTCAGGTTTGCTGTACCGCCAATGCGAAATTCAAGTAAAAATTTTTTTTGCCGTTTTTTTACATTATTTGATAGAGTGAGAGTTGCTGATCACGAAAAACAACTTTATACCTTACACAAATATCTTTTTCAGGTCGGAAAATAGGAAAAAATCGAAGTATGTTGTATTTTTCAAAAAACACATTGTTTTCAAAATACGCCTTATATTTCGGTTCGTGCTTTCTCTGAGTTTCTGAAAATACTTTGTTCAGATNTCAGCATCAAAAACTGAGCCTAGACGAGTTGTTAAATCGGCTTAAGACCCCGACATCTTTTCACAGTGGCACTCCAAATCACACGGAGTGCAATGCGCATAAGTCGTTTTTGTAAACGTATCAAGTTTTTTACATAAGCGATGAAGTCAAATGTTTTATCTCATTCAACTCAACATACCATCAGCTACAAAACTCCGCATTCTTTTTTCTCCTGTTCTGTCCTCTGTTGAAAAAATTCGTTTTTACTGTTATCATAGACAAACGGGAAGGTCATTTTTCAATAAAATGCTTATTTTTTATTCAAATAAAGTGAAAATTTTTTGCATAGGCAAAAACTGCTGATGA